CATTGAAGAATCTGGCGAAGTTGATCCCCCACTTGGTTGAACTGATGATCCACTTTCTCACTGAGGCGCTCATGTTTCTGTTCAAGGCGCCCGACTTGCTCCTCCAACCGATCAATGCGCTCATTGTGAATCTACTTGGAGATCGCACCCTTTGGTGGTAGGGCTTCAGTACCACCATGCTGACCACCTTTGGCAGTTTTGCCTTTGCCTTTCCCCTTGGGGGTAGTCTTGTAGTAGACGGGTGTGAGCAGAACCTCAAATGCCTTCCCGTTCACCTGCACCGAGAACTTGGTGAGAGTTGGTGGCTTCTCAAACGAAAGCGTCCAGGCGCATACCCCCGCCCTACGGAATGAACGGGTGGGGATGCAAGCCTCCTTGGTCGCTTGGTGCACTGCTGAGACGATGTCCTTGGCGAGGATCTCTGCTGGCCACCCAAGACTATCCATATTCACTTTGGGAATCATTGCTTTGTTGATTGAACAAATACGGTCATCTTGTGGCAGCAGGAGGTCCCTTGCTGTGGCAAGAGAGTCCGTGGCAAACCTCGATGCAAGCCCACGCTTGGTGACTGCAATTCCCCGATAGCCAGTGATTGATGAGGCTGCCTTGAGGAGGTCGGCTTTGTTAGCTCGATCAATGGCCCAAAATCTTGGGATGATTGACAGATCATGAACCTGTTCTCCCTTTGGAATGAAGTCACGCACAACCAGGTCACCGGCTCCGCTGGCTGAAAGAAGGGGAACCCTATGTTTCTGCTGCGCCTTGAGAAGGCATTGGTGGATCACATCATGTCGCTCCTTTGAGTGTTCTTGGACTGCACGATATCCGTAGATGGCATATGGGGTCTGGACACACCTCCTTCAGTTGCACTTTGAACTTGGCCAGCGGGTTGTCATAGAAGCTCTGGAAGACATCTTTTGACGTCAGGCGAGCATCACACTCCAGGACGATCTCACAAACTGCTGCTAATTTAAGCGTGATAGCAGGAGCAGGCAATGCGAAATGGACCTCAGGTGTAACCACCAAAAGATGGACCTGTCTTTTGTACTCTTGATTCAGCGCTGGGTCAAAGACAATGACTTCAAAGGGTCCAGTGAGATTCGCTAACTTGGCCAAGGGGTCAGTCGGATCAATCATTGGAAGGAGGAGTGCACAAGGTTCCTTGGGAACAATCTCACGTGCTTGTGGTAGGTTTCCCTTGGACACAAACGCAATGCCACCTCTGTTGGTTGACAGCTGTTGTTTCTGAACGAACGGCAAGGGTGATTTGTCCTTGGTGACAAATGGATGGTCTGATTGAAGCTGGAGATCCTCCCACTTGCTCTGCTTAATCACCTTCTTCTTTTGTTTCCATGGATCATCCGTCTGCCAAGGGTCAGGTGTCTGCATGGTTGTATTCCCACTTGACTGGCCTTCCATTCCTCCCAATGAGACAGCTGAGCACGGTTGGATAAACTGCATTCCCCCAACCACCAGAAAAAGCCTCCGGAGGTTTTCAGCAAAAGTGCGAAGCATAGGAGGGGCCCCAGCTTCCCGCCAGGCTTGATTTGATTCATCAAGGATAGCGTCAATCAGCAGTCTCTTCTGATGTGGAATGTGAAATGAGTCAGGCAAGTGAATATCAGCCACAATCCATCTATGGAGCAACTCCCACCCACGCACACCAGGCCGTGTACGACTCGTATCGATGATCGCAATCGGTCGGAAGCCAAACGGAATGATGTAGTCAATGGCGAAGTCGTGCCAAAACTGCTGGTCCCTAGGTGGGACTTGTAGAAATACCGTCCTGCAGGTGTGTTTTTGGGCATTGCAGATGACCTCAATTCCTATCCAATGTCCTTCCCGGAGTGCTACAAATCTCTGAACATCCAGACAATTAGGCTTGACACTTGGGGCAATCAGTGAAAGATCATGATGAAGAACTGGTGGGCAGAATGAGTCTGGGGGGAAAAAGCTCATAGCAAACTCAATCTCATCACTTGTCATCCACCCTGGGTGTGTGCGGTAGATGTTGAGCCTCATTTCAAGCCAATCGTCAGCAATGAAGAAAATCTCCCGAATGTCAAAGACATAGAAATGCCTTCCAGTAGCTCTTACAATCAGATCATCAGCTCGGCTTGGGGACTCGGCGATTGCAATGAGGAACGCCGTCCGGGAAGCCTGGGCAAACTGGATGAGCCGATCATCCGCCCTCGTCTCCCTCCAGACAAAGTCAGCTTGATCAATGATCTGCGTGACATGAGTGGAGAATTGGTCCCTCTGCAGCCTCTGAGTGCTCCTGTGTGAAGTTGGGAGCAATGGGGCACCAGCACGCGCATAGAAAGTTCGCAGAGTGCGCCATGGGGCCAACTCAGAATCTTCAGCAGTGCGAACCCATCGGTAGGCATTGGGAGCAACTTGTATACCCATTACATTTTCCAATTCCAAGACTGCTGTTGTCCGCCGGATAGTCAACTGTTCAGGAGAGTGATAGAGCACCCTCCATTGTCCTTCAAAGAACCTGACTTCGACAAAGATCCAATCAAACACAACCAAAACCGGCACCACGAAGTGTTGGTAGCACAACTGGAGGTCTGCAGGATGGGTAGGAAATCGAAACTGAGATTCATTTGTGACCCATAGACCTGGTGGACACCAGCAAATGGAAGGCATCAGCATCTGCAGAAAATCAAAGTGGTACACCATCTCATCCATAGCAATGGCGCCTGGTTCAAGGTTGAACTGGAGGAGGCGAGCACCAAGTGTGTCATTCCTGATGTTGCAGCTGGGTTGCTCCGACAACCGATCCATACCTCCAAATGCCAATGGGGTCCCGTTTTGAGCCCAAGGTCCACTCCAAAGAACATCACCATTGATGAGCATCATAGGTTGATCAATACGGCGCTCAATCATGTTCCGCAGGGTAATATTGCATTGCTGCTCAAACAATTCATTGCACTGGCGTGGTGTGATAGTTCTCGGCGCTTGGCAAATCTTACACCATCGCAGCTCCTGTCCTGGATGGCCATGATGACATGGACCCCCAACAGTCTCTGGCAAGCGTCATGGTTTGCTTTGAAGAAGTACATCTGGGATCCTTGTGATCGAAATGATGGAATGCTTCCTAACCGATCCTGGTTGGCATCCCTGATCCACTCAAACGTTCCATCCTGTTGCAGCAAAAGGACCTTACCAATTCGCATGGGTTCTGGGTCTTGACAGACATATTCCACAACATGGAAGAAGCCTGCTTGCATAGCCTCCTGCAGATGATCAAGCTCTGGGTCATCATCATCCAGGCCCCATGGCTGAGTGGGAGACACAATGGGGTCGGCCCCATCAGCATCAGGTATAGCTCGGGCAATGTGGAGAGTACAAAGCAGATGGGGTCCCAACTTCACCAGTACATCCCCTCTTGGTAGCGCATCCCAAGCAGTATCTTGAGGAAGAGTCTGCCCACCAACCATCAACTGAAGGAGCTGTGCATGATAACTCGCAGGGTCCAGATGCTCCAAGAGTTGGTCAATAATTCTCATCAGAACCGGAACATTCACTGGAATGAGACTCAGATCATCTCCAAACCGGATCAGAGTGCCTCCAGCGAGCCATGGTTGCCGCGTGAGAATACTCGGATGTGCTTTGGCAATGAAATCCGCAAATGGTTGAAGCACAAACATGTCATCGCACTGCCTGATCAGAGCCTTATCCACGGTTAGTCTGTCACTCCAACACTGTTGCACAAGAGCCAGCTTAGGATGTGTGTCTCCAGAGACTCCTTCAAAACTTTCTTGTACCCTCCTAGTTGTGGAGCAGCAGAGAGGACCCGCCAGTGTGGGTGAGACTCAATACCATCAGAACATTCGAACAATGCCATAATAGGCCGAACTCGAGCCACATGTTGGATCGCATCAAGAAAGCAGAAGCCTTCATCGGTAGCCAAGCCCGAGTGCTTCCCTCCTTTGCTCCAGCTGGGGCATGGAGGAGAAAGGGTCATAACCAAGTTGGACTTGTGAGATGTAGCTCGCAACAGAGTAGACTCACTGATGTCAGCACAGATGCCACTGAAGACTTCGGTCGGATTGTAGTCAATCCCAATGGGACCATGCTGAACCCTGCAGCCATGATTGAAGCTCCATGTCTTCATGACTTCTTGGCACCAATCAACGGAAGTATGGGATGCAAAGGAGTATCCCAAATTTGTCTGCTGAAGCCACCACATGGCCCTCAACCAGCCTTCATAGGCCCCTGCAAAGAGATGGCTAGCATTCCATGCCAGGTGCTTGTCTAGCTGCGGTAGGTTCCAGATAGGAACAGATTCATCTGCTTGAATCCGACCAGCCTGGGTGCACTGACTGGACTTCACATAGACCCCGATCCACATACCTTCAGTGAAGTCAACTCGCTGATGGGAACCTGAGCACATGAGGTCAAATTGTGACCACTCATCCCTCACAATCACATCCTGGAGAAGCATTGACTTGCGGCAAATCTGGACATGAAGCGGGTCAGGGCAAACCAGCTCGGTCACTTCCCCAAACAGGACCCAGCGATCAGCATGAGGACAAACATCACCTGTAGCAGCAATGGCGTGCAACGCATCCCGAACCGAAGCGCCGAGTGGTTCAGCCAAGCCCGCAGTGGCCCACCCAACAAAGCTATCTTTCGACCAAGATCCACGTTCTCTCGTCTTATCCATGATGTCCATGTGATTCCCGGTCTGGTGAGACCGAGATCTGTAGACGCCTGACCCTCACCAGAGTGGTGAGTAGCCAGGCCCCGGCCCTCACGAACGGGCGTGAGCCACCCAGCTGTGAACCAGAATGGCTGGGGGGAGCTTCCTTGAAGAAGCGCGAGATATCCTGCGTCCTGTCGGTAGTAGCGACTCCCTAGCTACTAGCTACCTCTATAATACTATATATCTACCTTGACTCGCGGCCTACCCCCCCAAAAAAAGTGAAAACAAATAAGCAAGGTATCTTTTTCTTCTCTCATGGTCACGTGGAATTTAAAAGTCCGGACAGGTGAAGCTCATTTTTGAGCGTGATCTCATGAAGATGAAGGCGTTAAAGAGCTGTTTGTGACCGGTCTGGGGGCTGAAGCAAGTCCTTGAGTCAAGGTGGTAGCTTTTGAGCCTAAGCTTTGTGCAGAGATTTATAATGGTTTGTAAATTGATGCGCCAGTCCAGTCTTCAATCTCGTGCTCCTGACAATTCACACTATATATTTCCGACCTGAAGAAATGATGGTGTAGTATTTGTTTCCATCATAGTCGTACATTGCAATTTGTGATATCAAGCTTCAGCCTTGAGGCCTTTTTCTCCGTAGCATTCTATCACCTGCACTGCCAGGGCTTTTGGCCAGCGCAAGACAACTTCCCCATGAGCCAGACCATGAAGATTGACGGCCAAGAGACCACAGAGGCGAGGGAAACGGTTTGTCCTATGACATCTTGTAAACTCCAACAAGTGCATATTATATAGAATATAGACAGCACTGAACACATTCAGATTCCTGCCTAGCTGACTTTCAATTTCTGGTGGAGGCACTTCTGCGAGAAGCCATGGAAGTGCAGCCTTTGGTGGAACAAAATGTGTATGGGCCACACAGTGCCTTCATAGTGAGCTGGAATGAGTGGCTCCTGTTGGGACGTTGATGGAGGAATTTTCAATTTCAGTTTCTGTTAGGGTGCGAGTCCTTAAGGTCAGAAGACCATGTGACTCTCTTTGCTTTAACTCAGCGCAAAACAAGGCAGATGTGGGGATCCTCAGAAGGTCTCCAGACCTCAACTTGATGGTCGCCAGCGTGACATCCAACATCCTCCGACTCTCCAAGGCGCTTCAAGCATCTTCCGCTGGATGACGCTTTGAAATGTCATATACAGTCAGCAGCACTGGTGTGGGGTCCAAGACAATTTGGCAGAAAGAAGCTTTCAAGACACATGTAGCACATGCCTTTCAAGACACATGTAGCTTGGCTCACCAGGATCCTCAGATCTCTATTCTAGTCATGGTCTCTCAGGGCAGGAGACTTGGTATACCGCATTCAAAACACAAACCATGAAAAAAGCAATTTACTCGTTTGATAAAACCCGACATGGTATTTTGACGAGTTTCTCTTGGGCTTAGTGGCTTTGAATTCCTTGCATTTCTAGCTGCAGGCTACGACCCGCAGACATTGGAGACCAGCAGCCAGGAGACGGAGGATGTGCTGACCTCGGATTTGGATCTTGATCTTCTGAAGCTCTGCTATTGAGATTGTCGACATTCTACTAGTTTGAAGGTGGGGTTAGATCAGTGCTGCTTCCTGTTTAAGCAGAGCCGACAAAAATTTCAGTTTAAGCCAGTTAAGCTCATGCATATGATTATGATTAAGATTTCTGGGCATGCATGGCATATGAGGGCGAGCACTCGTTCTACTCTTCAGAGCCTGTTGCCACCCCCCACCCCACCCAATAGATTGTCCGGTGGTTGTAGATTGCCTGTTGGTTGCGTCCGTGTTCTACTCTTCAGAGCCTGTTGCCACCCATCCCCCCACCCACCCATTAGATTCATTAGATTGTTTGGTGGTTGAATCTCCTTTCACCTTCTCCCCTCTGAAAGTGCGCAAATGAGTGTTCGGTGCGCAAGTGAGGTAAAGTGCGCAAGTGAGGTAAATTTCCAGTGCGCAAGTGAGTGCTTGGCCGCATATGACAGCTCTGAGTTTCGAAGCAACAGAAGAATTTCAACTTTGGTATTCTGGGCAATAAGAAACATGGCAATATGACAGATTCCTGTAATACCTTAGTGTCACTGCCATGCATAGTGTTTACAGTATATATATATTATTAATAGTGGTAAAACTACTTATATAACAACAACCTGAATACATCGCTTGACTTTTGCAGGAGTTGGAGGTTCACATATATATATATATACACATATATCGGACACATGGACTTATGCTCTTGGTTTCCTTCCCAGGAATTGCTCTTCTTTTTTGCAGGTCTTCCACGCACTGTCCGAGTGGACAGAAGAGCTGATACTACTTATAGTGAAGTGCTCTTTGGACAAGTGTTGAGTCTCTTGTAGCTTTAGAAGAAGCTTGACATGTCTCTTGTAAAACATGTTTTGTGTTTGGGTGCAGGCTGCAGCTCATCATGTCTCCAGTCTCCAGGTACTTCTGTCCCGTGAAGCAAGTGATTGTGACCTTGGGTGGGGACACCGTGTCAGCTTGCAGAGAGGCATTCATGGAGACTGTTTGGGTGCTTGTTGGATTGTGCTGGTAGCACCAAGTTTCAGTTGGCTCTTCTAAACATGCTGGTAGAGTTGGAAATCTGTTTTGATTGAGTGCCAAGGCTGTTACTATTCACAGCTGTCAGAGCCACTGAAGGTCCAAGCAATTGAGTTGCATCCGAAGAGCACTACCAGTGAAGAAGCGACACTTGCAGGTGATGCTACACCCGGAGGACTCCTGGCTGTCACAGCGACTGCAACTCTTTGTGCAACAAGGGGAGGCTGGCGATCGGCAAATGTATATAGTATATAGTATATACATAGAATCCTGGGAGATATTTGAGCAGTGTTTTGCGGCATTTTGTCAAAAGCTCAAGGGCTCAACTGAGAAGGTAGCCGCTCCACCTCCAAACACGCAGTGGCAGTGCTGGGAAGAGTTTGGCAGAGCAGCCAAGGAGACAAGCTCACAATGGACTGAGATAGGGTTCTCAAGTCTGTGATGAGTGAGAGACCCTGTGTTTGCCATATGAAGTTTGACTGCCCCTTGCAACGACTAACAAGAACGCTTTTAACATTTCAGTGTTTTGGTCGTTCTGCATTGGCACATCGAGCCGACACAGGAGATCAAGCCCCGGGACATTGAGAAAACAATGAAGGAAGAGGGCTTGCACCCTTGATGTCATCTTATCATCAGATACGCTTTGCTTGCCCAGGCTTCATAGCTTTGAAACTTGTGTAGAGGATCTATCTACAAGATCTACAAGTTAATGCTGCCAAGTCTCAAACAAATTTGATTTCTTGTCCCTGCGTTTGGCTTCAGGTACTGTGGGGATGTGGTCATTTGGCAGCCGCAGAGCGCCGCAGGGCCACGACGTCCAGGTGAGGGAGGCCTGAAATGTTCTTCATGAACATGATAGTATATAATATAATGTAATGTAATGTAATGCAATATCTGTCTGTCTCTCTCTCTCTCTGCCTGCTTGGCTTGGCTTGGCTTGGCTTGGCTTGGCTTGGCTTGGCTTGGCTTGGCTTGGCTTGGCTTGGCTTGGCTTGGCTTGGCTTGGCTTGGCTTGGCTTGGCTTGGCTTGG